AGATTATATTGTGTATTTTGTTAAAATCTTCAGTACTTTAATCTTGCTTAATTAATATTTTTTCCTGCTATTTTTGATAAATTGGGTTAAGTGTTAAATAATGGCCGGGCTTGCCTTGTAGTGTGCTGGGCGCCATCACGACCGGGATTTGGGTCGTGACACTTATGTACCGTGTGCCTTATCCTGAAATTGGTACAACAAAGACGACCAACAAGAAGGAAAATTGATATGTAACAACTTTCACCTTTTGTGAAAATAGTATGTGATTTTGGTACCAACTGGCACTTTAAAATTTTGTAGTCATATTTCTTGTAGTTAAATATGCTTTGTCAGTTATTAAAAACATACTATTAAATTGCTCTACCTCTTCCATCATATTGCTCACTATTTGATTTGATTGCAGGTTGATGAGTCTATTCGTAAGATTGCGATTCGTGTTCTAGGCTTCTGCAGCTGCTCGCTCTATTGCAGCCGATGTCAAAAGTACTGGTGATCAGCAAATAATTAATTCAGTTGATGTCACATGTGGTCTAAGCTTCGGCAAATACACTGCTCTGGCGTTTGCAGGAGCTTTCAAGTTCCTGGCTTGCATAACCTTATGGAAACACATACATTAGGAGTTGCGTATGTATTAGATGTTACTTTCTTATCATTCAGTATTTACCAATCTTTAAAATGCAAGTGCATCTATTACCTCTGCCAGTTTCGAGGATGGGCTTAAGCTGGTCAAGCTAAGAGGAGAAGCTAGGTAATGTTCAACAATCCAATGATAAAAAAAATATCTTGCATGGAACTCTAAAATATCTACTCTTTCCCTTTCCTTTAGGATGCTGCTGATGCTGGAAAAAGTGCAATGGTTAGTATAATTGGACTGGACTCCTAGAAGGTCCACAAACTGTGTGATGCAGCTAATGAGGAAGTTGATGAAGCCAACAAAGTTCAAATTGCAAATTTCTTATGCCCAGTGATTTTTTTCAAATGCTCTATAACCAGACTAATATTATATTTATTATACATTTTGCAATATTGCACCTGGCTAAGCATTTTCCAGTTTTGTTGTTGACATTGTATATTTTTACAGGAAAATTATGCAGTCTCCGGAGGTCTTAAAGGAGTGGAAGTGGTAAAAGCAAAAGCAAAATGATTCAAAGCTCTAATGACGGTATTTCCTTTCTCTCCAAACGTTGTTGTTTTGGCTGCCAATTGCCAATGTTGTTCGCATCTTAACATTGGATTTTGATTGTTCCAGGTACGTCTAGCTGAGTTTTATGAATCCAGCTTTCTCAAGACTAGAAGCTGCTCTGGGTGCAACAGAGATCAGAACTCCTAGAATACCAATAATATCAAATGTTAATGTGCAACCACATGCAGATCCAGACACAATTAAGAAAATATTAGCTCGCCAGGTAAGGACACAAATAGTGCATCCACAACATTAAATTAATTGATTATGGATGGACACAATCTGCGAATGTTGATTTGTCGTGTTTGAGTTATGCAGAGAAGATTTGTTCCTCCTTAATGGTAAAGATGCTTAATTATAATTCTTTTTCTTTTTTCTAGAAAGCTCATTCAGAAATGACAAAAGCTGGTATATTCTAGGACATCAGTCTGAAAGATTTGTCAACTTTGAGAAAGAAGAGCTATCCAAAGCAGGTGCTAAAGAGAGCATGTTTCTTTTTTTCTTCTTTTTTTTTTACATTTAGCATTCTTGAATGACCTCAGTTACTCTTCCGATCATGCCTCAAACTATCAAACCTCTCTTACTGTCATCTGTATATACTTTCAGAATATACAAATGTATTGAAAGTTATGAGATACAGTTGACATTATAATTGGTTCATAAGCCTCGACGACACTCAGGATCCAGTTACCCTGAGTATACTTTCCCAATCATAATTGTTTGCCGAACAACATATGTCTAAATGGGTGAGTATAATCCTTTTTCATTCTTTTTCCTTCCGATTCTAAGATGCTTGCTTTGGCGTTATTCACTAACACCTCGTAGGTGAATGAGTGATCGGGTTTTGGTCTGAACCTCGTGTTTTGACCAAGCGGGCTCGGGGTCAATTTTTGACCTTTTGGGAAGAATGATTAGAAAACTATAATTAAGCATTGGAATTGGATTGTTTAGCATTTATTGATGTTATGAAGCCGATTATGTTTAGATATAATTGATTTGGAGCCGAATTCGAAAGGAAAGGCGGTGTTTGAGGCTTGAGTTGGTTGTGGAGGTTCGAGGTAAGTGTTCGGTCTAACCTTAGCTTGAGGGATTAGGAGTTGTGTCATATTTGCTATTTGCTTCTTGTTGAGTACGACGTGTAGGCATGGTGACGAGTATCTATACGTTGGTGTCGAGCATGACCGTGAGTCTTAAATTGATATTTGTTGTGTTCTTAAATGATACTACAGATGCTTTAATTGGTGATTCTCGATATTGAGCAAGGATTTAGTTTATTTTCGTGGAAAGTAATTATAATAGAGTATAGGTGTTAGCTGAGATGAGTAGGGATTGAGTTATGATTGGTTATAGCTGATTCTCCCTTGCCGGGACGTATATACTTTTACTGTTGAATTCACTTACCGGGATAGTGTAGTTAATTATTGATCCCTTGCCCGGACTCGTGGTATGGTTGAGTTTAAGGTATATAAATATATTGGAACGGGTTGCACGCTGCAACATTTTTATATATTGGATCGGGTTGCACGCTGCAATATTATTATATATTGGATCGGGTTGCACGCCGCAACAATGTTATATTGGATCGGGTTGCATGCCGCAACAATGTTATATTGGATCGGGTTGCATGCCGCAATAATGTTATATTGGATCGGATTGCATGCCGCAATAGTAATATAAATGGATCGGGTTACACACCGCAACAGTGTTAAATGATAAGGGATCGGGTTGCGCTCCGCAACAATGTTATTATTGTTTGTTGTAGAACTTGAACTGTTCTCTCTTATCACTCTTTAGCTTCTGGTGGATTTGATATGTTCCCCGTAGCATGTACCCCCTCCCATTTACATTGTTTATTCCTGTTTATTTTTTTTGCTGGATATTATATAACTGCACAGGTTTATCTAGAGTCTGGTCCTAGCCTCGTCACTACCTCACCGGGGTTAGGCTAGACACTTACCAGCACATGGGATCGATTGTGCTTATGCTACACTCTACATTATGTGCAGATACCGGAGCAACATTTGGACAGTAGCACTTGGGGAGCCAACCTTCAGTCCACTCAGAGATCCCGAGGTAGTAATGCAAGCGTTCGTAGGCCCGGCGTTCTCTTCTATCTATTTATATGTTCTGTTTCCACTTGTTTCCGAGATAGACTGTATTTCCTTGTTCAGACATTTGTATGTAGTATTCATAGATAGTCCGTGGATATTGTGGCACCGATTTTTGGGTAGAGACGCATGTTGGCATTTTCGTACTGATTTTGGTATTATATTAGTCTAAGTCTTCCGCTTAATTTCATCTTTCGCTATTATTTAAATGTTGATCACCTGTTAATTCAATTTATTAAAAAGAGTTGAAAATGAAAGAGAATGAATTTTCTATATTTCGTGGCTTGCCTAGCTTCTACGAGTAGGCGCCATCACGACTCCCAAGGGTGGGAAATCCGGGTCGTGACAAGTTGGTATTTGAGCTCTAGGTTATATAGGTCTCACAATTTACGGACAAGCTCAGTAGAGTCTGAGGGATCGGTACAGAGACATCTGTATTTATCCCCTAGAGGCTACAGAGTTAGGGAAAACTTCACATTTGTTCTTTCTTGTCGTGCGGTTTTGTTCTCAATGCTAATTGAATTTCTACTCTGTTCATTCACATATGGAGAGAACACGCACTTCCTCATCCATCGCTCAGCAGCCCGAGCCCCCAGCAACAGCTCCCACGAGGGGCAGAGGGCAAGGCCGAGGCCGTGCTAGAGGCCGAGGTAGGGGTAGAGCTCAGTCCCGAGCAGCAGCCCCAGTGGCGGAGCCTCAGGTTGACTTTGATGATAAGATTCCGGCCCCAGCAATTCCATCGGGCCCAGCTCAGGTCCCAGAGGGGTTTATTGCCACCCCAGTTCTTCAGGATGCTCTAGTCCATCTAGTGGGCCTTATGGAGAGTGTCACCCAGGGAGGCTTGCTTCCTGTAGCACCAGCCGTCTCTCAGGCTGGAGGAGGAGCCCAGACTCCTGCTACTCGCACCCTAGAGCAGGTAGCTCCCCAGATTCAGACTCCAGCGGTTCAGCCAATTGGAGCAGTTCAGCCGGGTATGGTAGTTCAGACGGGTGATGGAGCAGATATGCCTGCCGATGCTTTGTAGAGGATGGATAGGTTCACCAAGATCTTCACTACTACTTTCAGCGGTGCATCTACTAAGGATCCCCAGGATTATCTAGACAGCTGCCATGAGGTTCTCAGGAACATGGGGATAGTTGAGACCAATGGGGTCGATTTTGCTATATTTGGCTTGTCTGGATCCGCCAAGACTTGGTGGAGATATTATTGCTTGGTTAGACCAGCCGGATCGCCAGCTTTGACTTGGGAGCAGTTTGCACAGCTATTTCTGGAGAAGTTTCTCCCCATTACTTAGAGAGAGGCATATCGGAGGCAGTTTGAGCGTCTCCAGTAGGGTTCTATGACTGTTACCTAGTATGAGACCAGATTCATCGACTTGTCTCGTCATGCTCTTGTCATACTTCCTACCGAGAGAGAGCGGGTGAGGAGGTTTATTGACGGTTTTATTCAACTGATTCGTCTTCAGATGGCTAGGGAGGCTGGGAGTGAGATTACTTTCTAGGAGGCGGCCAATGTGGCCAGGAGAGTGGAGATGGTTCTGTCGTAGGGAGGTGGTCATGGGTCGGATAAGAGGCCCCATCATTCAGGCAGATTCAGTGGTGCCTCGTTAGGAGGTAGGGATTCATATGGTAGAGGCCATCCTCCTAGGCCCTTTTAGTTAGCACTTCCGGTCTCTCATGGTGCTTCAGGTGGACGTGGTTCTCACATGTAGTATTTTGATCAGCAGCCCTATAGTGCACCACCAGCTCCTATTAGTGCACCGCCGCTCCAGAGTTTTCGGGGTGGTCATTCAGGTCATCAGTCTCAGGTTCCTCAGCCGCAACACTTAGGTGGATGCTATAAGTGTGATAAGTACGGTCATATCCGTAGGGCTTGTCCGAGATTGGTGGGTACTTAGTCGCAGCAGTAGGGTTCCCGTACTATGGTTCAGGCACCAGGTGTTCCACAGCCCACCCAGCCAACTAGAGGTGGGGGTAGAGGTGCTAGAGGTGGAGCTCAGACCATTAGAGGTAGAGGCCAGCCAGCTGCAGGCCGTCCTAGAGGTAGTCCAGGATGGTGGGGCCCAGCCCCGATGTTATACTCTTCTAGCCAGGCCCGAGGCTGAGGCTTCAAATGCGGTTATCACAGGTATTATTCTGGTTTGTGATAGAGATGCTTTAGTGTTATTTGATCCAGGGTCTACATACTCGTATGTGTCATCTTATTTTGCACCGTATCTGGTCATGCCTAGTGATTTATTGAGTGTTCCTGTTTATGTGTCTACATTGGTGGGTGATTCTATTATGGTAGATCGAGTCCATCGCTCTTGTGTAGTTGTGATTGGGGGTCTTGAAACTCGAGTAGATTTGTTGCTTCTGGACATGGTCGATTTCGATGTTATATTGGGGATGGACTGGTTCTCACCTTACCACGCTATCTTGGACTGTCATGCCAAGACTGTGACCTTAGACTTACCGGGTTTGCCTCGTTTAGAGTGGAGAGGGACTCCTGGTCATTTTACCCGTAGCGTTATCTCTTATATGAAGGCTCGGTGTATGGTCGAGAAGGGGTGTTTGGCCTATTTGGCATATTTTCGTGATTCTAGCGCTGAGGTTCCTTCTGTTGATTCTGTGCCCATTGTTCGTGAGTTTCCTAAGGTTTTCCCTTCAGACCTGCCGGGTATGCCACCCGATAGGGATATTGACTTTTGCATTGATCTGGCTCCGGACACTCAGCCTATTTCTATCCTGCCGTATCGTATGGCCCCGCCGAAATTGAAAGAGTTGAAGGAGCAGTTGCAAGACTTGCTTGAGAAGGGATTTATTAGACCTAGTATTTCACCTTGGGGTGCGCCGGTGTTGTTTGTTAAGAAGAAGGATGGGTCAATGAGAATGTGTATTGATTACCTGTAGTTGAACAAGGTTACAATCAAAAATAAGTATCGCCGAACATTTGATGATTTGTTTGATCAGCTTCAGGGTGCCAAGGTATTTTCGAAGATTGACTTGAGATCTGGCTACCATCAGTTGAGGATTAGGGCATCCGACGTCCCTAAGATAACTTTTCGCACTCGGTACAGGCATTATGAGTTCTTGGTTATGTCATTCGGGTTGACAAATGCCCCAGCAGCTTTTATGGACTTGATAAACCGAGTGTTCAGGCCTTATTTGGACTCATTTGTGATAGTTTTCATTGGTGACATCTTGATATATTCCCGCAGCTAGGAGGAGCACGAGCAGCATCTCAGGGTGGTTCTTCAGACTCTGAGGGATAGTCAGTTATATGCTAAGTTCTCGAAGTGTGAGGTCTGATTGAGTTCAGTTGCATTCTTAGGTCATGTTGTATCAGTAGAGGGTATTCAGGTTGATCCAAAGAAGATTAAGGCAGTCAAGAACTGACATAGACCAACATCAGCTACAAAGATTCGGAGTTTCTTGGGATTGGCAGGCTACTATCGTCGGTTCGTGGAGGGGTTCTCATCTATCGCAGCCACGATGACCAGGTTGACCCAGAAGGGTGCCCGGTTCAGATGGTCGGGCGAGTATGAGGCGAGCTTTCAAAAGCTCAAGACAACTCTAACTACAGCACCAGTGTTGGTTTTGCCCACAGGATCAGGGCCTTATATAGTTTATTGTGATGCATCTCGTATTGGGCTCGGTGCAGTGTTGATGCAGGATAGCAAGGTCATTGCCTATGCTTCGCGGCAGTTGAAGATTCATGAGAAGAACTATCCGATTCATGATTTAGAGTTGGCAGCCATTATTCATGCGTTGAAGATTTGGAGGCATTATCTGTATGGCGTGGCATGTGAGGTGTT